TTTTAAAGCAATCTTTTCGGTGGAAAAAAAAGTACACCGATAAAGTTTACAAAGAGTTCAACCAGCTGGGTATGCAGCGGTTGAAACAAATGATGAACAATGCCAAACGTCGTCATCAGCTGCATGGACTGCCACCGGAGTGGGCGACAAATGACTTGTACCAACAGCTTCTTACGCATTGGAACTGAGACCATTTCAAGAACAAGAGTTCCAAGGCGAAACAAAGTCGTCTGTCCCAAAAATTCGAGGGTGATGGGCCTCATCGTCATACCTCCGGTGCTAAATCATTCAAGAAGAGGCAAAAAGAGATGGTATTTACTTAAACTTTAATTTAATTTTTAATTAGTTTTTTAATATTAGATTTTTTATTATGTTAATAATATATATATATATATATAGGAGAAAGAAATGGGGAGAACGCCATCAATCATAGAGTTGGTCGTTCGGACACACAAAAAGTCTGATGGGACATATGTCGATCCCCGTGCGGAACGAGTTGTAAGCACGGTAACTCAACGACTCACCCAACTCTCGCAAAATGTTGGCGATTCAGCGGGTTCTTCATCCGGTCTCTCTGCATCGGACCAAGATCGTTGTTATGTGGAGGTAAAACTTAAAATAATTCATTTTTAAATATTATATTTTAATATTTTATTTCAATTTTAAATATTTTTTTATTTTTCAGTCGGTCTCTCCAAATAAGGGCCGCATCTATGGATTAGGAGGATTGCAGCGAGATTTGTTCGATGATTTCGGTGCAGCAATTCCTCCTGGCATGCAGAGTGATCTCGAACAACAACGACGGATCGAGACACTCGAACAACAACTTGCGGCGACGAGGCAACAAGTGACTAACCTTGAACAAATCGTTGAGCTTATGCGGGGTGATCGACCACTCCACAATACGTCGCCAAGCTCGGGAGCAGAAACGACGGCACGTAATCTCGGGACTAGCGAAGACGAAGAAACCCGTAGTGCCAATTAATTATTATTAGTGAAACTATTTTATATTTTTGTAATATTCGAACAATTGTTTTTTTAATATTTTAATTTTATTTTGGTTTTATTATATATATATATATATATTTATTTACATATATTAATATATATTTATTAATATATAATATATATAAATATAAATAAAAAAATAAAATAAATATAACGGATATCCGTGGCAAATACCGTTGTAAATCCGTTGGAAAATTTCTAACGGATATTCTAACGGTCCCGTCGGAAAATAGCCACGGATGTCCGTTGGAATTTCTGTTGATATATCCCGACGAACAAATCCGTTGGAATTCCGTTGAAAATATACCACGGAAAAACCGTTGGAAATCCGTTGAAATATTCCAACGGATGAAGGCGTTGGAATTCCGTTTGGAATTTGCCACGGAATTCCAACGGACACCGATTTCTAACGACGAAATTCCAACGGATATATCCGTTGGAAATCCGTTGGAAAAGTTGAATTCCAACGGATTTTCGGCTATTTCCAACGGATTTGCCGGTTGGAATTTGGGTTTTTTTTTGTAGTGTTTTCTTGTGATTAGAAACGACTAACTCATGCTATTAGAACATGACGAGCCTACATCATATTCAGAAGCTGTTGCGAGTACCGATTCCGAGAAATGGCACCAGGCCATGGAGTCTGAGATGTAATCCATGTACGACAACAAAAGTATAGAATTTGGTTGACTCATTCAATGATATTAAGACCATTGGATGCATTTTCAAGAAGAAAACCGATATGGATGGCGCATACCTATAAGGCACGACTCGTCGCGAAAGGGTTTCGGCAGATTCATGATATAGACTATGATAAAACCTTTTCACCAGTCGTGATGCTTAAATTCATACGGCATCTGTTGGCCATAGCTGCGTATTATGACTAGAGATATGACAGATGGATGTCAAGACCGCATTTCTTAACGGAAATCTATTCAAGGATGTGTATATGACACAACCTGAGGGTTTTGTCGATCCTAAGAGTCCAAAGAAGGTGTGCAAGCTTCAACGATCCATTTATGGACTGAAACAGGCTTCGAGGAGATGGAATCTTCGATTTGACGAGACAGTCAAAACGTTTGGCTTCCTGCAAAACGAAGACGAGCCAAACGTTTACAGAAGGTTAGTGGGAGCGAGTGGTCTTCCTTGTGCTTTATGTAGATGATATATTGCTCATCCGAAATGACATTCCTACTTTACAAGGAGTAAAATCCTGGCTAGGACCAGTCTTTTTGATGAAAGACTTAGGAGAAGATGTCTATATTTTGGGCATCAAGATCTATAGAGATAGATCGAGAAGGCTTCTTGGCCTAAGTCAGAGTACATACATTAACAAGGTCTTGAATCAGTTCAAGATGCAAGACTCCAAGAGGGGTGTCTTGCCAATGGGACATGACGTGACTCTCAACAAGACTCAGTGTCCAAAGACACAGGATGAGCGAGAGCGCATGGATAGGATTTCATATGTCTTGGCAATTGGATCTATCATGTACGCCATGTTATGTACTCGTCAGGATGTATCATATGCATTAAGTATAACTAGTAGATATCAGACTACACCAGGTGAAGCTCACTGGATTGCGGTCAAGAACATCCTTAAGTACTTGAGAAGGACTAAGGATTTGTTCTTGATATATGGCGGATTGGAAGTCGAGTTCGCTATAAGTGGTTATACCGATGTTAGTTTGTAAACCGATAGAGATGACTTCAGATCGCAGTGAGATTACATTTTCTGCTCCAACGGTGGGGCTATCAGTTGGAAGAGTTCCAAATAGCCTACCGTTGCATATTCGACTATAGAAGCCGAGTACATAGCAGCATCGGATGCAACTAAAGAAACTATTTGGATCAGAAAATTTGTGGGAGACTTGGGTGTTATTCCTAGCATTGTAGATCCCATTGAATTGTATTGTGATAACAATGGGGCGATTGCGCAAGCTAAGGAACCCCGGTCACATCAGAGATCCAAACACATACTCAGGCGATTTCACTTGATCAGAGAAATCATCGACATAGGTGACGTGAAGATAAACAGAGTGTCGACAGATGATAATATCGCCGACCCGTTGACGAAAACTTTCCCTTCGTCATAGCATGATGATCATGTTAAGGGTATGGGGATTAGATGTTTATAGGATATATCATAGAATATAGTGGGAGATTGTTGGTTGTAATGTTGTAGGATGATCCTTGATATGACATTTTGACTATGTATTGATTCATTAGTTTATGAATGCACTACTTTTTCCGTTATATGATTGACATATTTGTTATATTTCGTTATCCTTGAGTCATTTGCATGATGATTCTAAACCCCTTGGTCAGTTTTCATTGTGAGAATAATGATGAATTAATACCAGTATGAAGTGTGATTGTTGCATTGGACGCATATCACAATCATGGGTACTCGTTGGGAACGAGTGACTGGATGACCCGCATGAGATTGTCACATGGATAGAGTCATGATTGAATCTCATATAACGGTTCGTTCTTGGATCCTCAGACCTGAGATGTCTAGAGTATCTTATATGAGGAATGACGTATCTTGACTGCGTCAAACGTCGTCTTTAAACGAATGATTATAACGGCGTTGCTCATATACGTTCACGAATCATATGGAGATAGTAGACATGCAATACGAGACCTATCACCTCATTAACGGGAGAGATATTGCTGAGCCCCTCGTGGAAATCGAACTGTGAAAACGCGTGGCGATGAAGTTGCATTTATTTTATCAGTCGATCTTCCAAGACAAGAAAGCGGTTGAACTTGAAGGGTGGCTAGCTCCATGCCCTTGTTCAACACATGATATGGTGAGACAAAGGATCAGAACTCGAGCTGTTACTACCTCGGTTAGATCATCTCTAACTCTATTCAAAGTGGATGGTCATGGCGTCTTGCTAGAGGCTAACCATGACTTGTGGTTCGAGAAAGGTGTTTTCGAAGTCATTGCCACCGTGAATGGGCCTACAGGGTTGCACACCATTAGGGATGGATTATATGTGAAAGAGAAGAATGCGACAAAGGGTAACGGAACGACGGAACGAGCATCACGAGCTGGAAATATTCCAGACGTGGAGACCGACCGGTCCAGGACCTAGACCAGTCGGTCCAACATGGCTCAAGATTGATCGGTCCAGATCCAGACCGATCGGTCTATGCGTCGGACAACATTCCTTTTTCGCGATTTTAGGGTTTTTGGCAATCTTATTTAGCAAGGGAACCGCCCCAAACCCTAAATAATCAACCCACGCCAAAACACATTCTAGAGTCTTAGAGAAGAGTTCTCTTGAGATCTAAACCCTGGAATATCGATTCCAAGTCCCGGACGTCGTTTTCTCTTCACAGATCCTAGCAGATCCATTCCAAGCCTTTTGAAATCCTTTCCGCCGGTGTGGATACGTGTAGAGGAGTTGTACTTTCAGTTCTTAGTGATTAAACAAGCCCCGGATCGATTACGAGGTAAGTATTCGATTCCATTGGTGATATACACGTTCTTTCGGATTTTGGAACTTTGGTTGCGTGTGACGTTTGACTAGGTTTAGATTATATTTTCCTGCCTAAAACCTAGAAACCAAACCCTAGTTCGATGAAATCACATGCTAGAAAACCTGTAGTGAATCCCAACATATATATCAAATACATAAATTCGGTATAACCCTTTGTGTATGACCCGGTAGATCCCGTTTAACGTGATCGTAATAATAAAATCCTATTTTACCGTACACGTTGATAATGGTCTCTAGCAAGACATATCAACTACACACTTAAACCGAGTTATCACCTCGATTGTGCCTACAATATCATCGAACTAATATACATTTGTCTCGCGATATTTACCAGTCGAACGTAAGGCATGGTGTCAATCAACCTTAACCAATTCGACCACTTTCTCATATGTTGATCATTTGTCAATATAGATGTCCAACATCTATGGCTTGGCCAAGCACTTTACAACATGATTAACAACTGAGTGGCCAACGATATCTATCCCGTAATCAGGAGAGACAAATTTCCATCTTGATACGCTACGACCCACCACGTAATCCGTTGCGCATCTGAGCATAGCCTTTTTTATAACCACCGTGTTAAAGCGACGTTTGACTATGTCAAGACACAAAACAAATTACGGGGAATACCAATAGTTATCTCAGGTCAAAAGACAATGATGTCGGTTTTGATTCATGATCATGAACCGACCATCATGTGGGTCACCCAATCACACATTTCAAACGTATACGTGTGACTATAGCACGCATCCAATATGTCATGCATACACATTACACTAATCTTCATTTATTATCGTTCCCACGATAATAACTGACTAAGACATCTAGTATTATTCCAAATAATATAGAGATAATGTTTATTATTAATGAACATGCAAATAGGGGCAATGACAAAAAAAAACATGAACTTTGAGTATTTAGCAAATAAATACATAAACTTTCATTTTGGTAATAAAATACACTAACTTTTATATTTTTAACACAAATCTCCACGAACAATAACGACGTAAAAAAACTAACGGAACCATCAATACATCATGTACATTTGTTTAATAAAACCATGTCATTAATTATTTTTAGTGAATTTATTATTAACTTGTTTAGTAACTTTGTTTTTTTTATGTTCAAAACATAATATATATATGATTAGTAAATTTATTATAAGTCTTGTTTAGTGATTTTATTTTTTGATGTTCAAAACATAATATATTTGTATTTCAAGGGTTCTACTTTCCATATATATATTATGTTTTGAACATCAAAAAACAAAATCACTAAATAAGGTTAATAATAAATTTATTAAATATAATTAATGACATGGTTTTATTAAACAAATGATATGATATTTATATACAGTTGTACATAATGTTGATAGTTTCGTTATTTTTTTTACTGTTATTGTTCGTGGAGGTTTACACTAAAAATATAAAAGTTGGTGTATTTTATTACCAAAATGAAAGTTTGTGTATTTATTTGTCAAATACACAAAGTTCATGTTTTTTTTTGCCATTGCCCCCATGCAAATATAATAATAAACGAATAATCATATTATTCCATAAACATTTATTACAAATGTACATCTGTTCGTCTACATATGAGCATAAACACAACAAAAGGATCTCAGAAAAATCAGACTATAGCTCGAATAAACAAGTTGGTAGCCCGTTTTTCCTAAGCAATAATGCTTGAATTTCATAATGAGGCTGTAGCTCGGAAAAACAGGCGGATAATCCCCTTTTTTCTGAGCAATTCGAAAATAAGCGAAAAATCGCAACTGTTTGGAGATAACTTTCGATTTCTTCGCACCTTTCGACATTTGGAGTGTTTATAAACATTTATGGGCATCCTACCACGAAATATAACATATCTAAGTTGTTTTTTTGAGAGATTTGAGAGCACTTTTGTGATTGTTCTTGCAAAACACTCACAAAAGCCATTCATTCATCTTCTTCTTGCAAGTTCTTGTGCATGTGTTCTTAGTAGAGCAAACTAAGATCACTTCCCTCTTAATTGTATCTCATAAATCTATTTGGAGAAGTCTTTTGCTCGTATAAGACAAAATAACATTTTTCAGAAAATGCATGCATGTCTTAAAGAGCTATCAGGTTCCCGATTTTTTTTTCTGTTCTTTTTGTATCCTAGAAATTTCTAACAACTACATCGCAGGTACAATTAGAGAACCGCTATCACTACGGCTGAGGTCAAAGTTCAAGTGAACCTTTCATCATCGCGATTTTAGTACTAGACATGCTAGAGATATGGAAGTTAACTTGCAAAGAAGTTTAGTCCTTTAAAATGATGGAGGTTGTGATGGAAATGTTAGTAATAGAATAAAAGTATGATGGATGAAATAGATACAAACCACAAGATTTTTTTGCAGTTGTAGTTCCTATATGGTTGGAAAAAAAAATTCTAGCGTACCGTCATAAGACCCGTATTGATATATGGTAGCAAATGTTGGGCGATGAAAGGACAATTTGTGTCCAAAATGAGCGTGACCGAGTTGAAAATATTGTGATGTATGTGCAAACACATAAGAATGGATAGAATTCAAAATGATAATATTAGAGATAAACTAGGAATAATAATTATAGAAGAGAAAATTGCACGATGAGCGTTTAAGATGGTTTGTATGTATAAAATGTATATCGATAGATATTTTGATTAAAAAAATAAATAGTATAGAAATGAGAGTAAGAAGTAGTGGGACTGCAGATTAACTTAAAAATAAGTTAGCAATGTTTCGAAGTTGTTGCAAATTTCAGAAAACTTAAAAATAAGTTAGTAATGTTTTAATCTGAAATCGAAATGAATAAAAATGAAGAAATTATGTCGTTAGATCCGAAATAAATTTAGAATTAAGACGATGTTGATTAAAACGATACTATGTAAATCACATAATATTCTAACCCAATTTTTTTTTTCTCAGTTTGAAAACAATGTATTTGAATTGTTCCTCAGAAACCCACCTTCGAAAATTTAATAGTGAACGTATAAGCCAATAATATAAATTCTCCATATTAAATCCCTTGCAATATCTTAACCGTAATATTTTTTTAATTGCAGTAATTCCAACATGACATATGGAATTTTATTTTTGAATTTACTAATTAGGAAAATAAATAAATTAAAAGGAGGGAACGGAATAAATAGGAATATGCTTTGGCTTATCAGACCGATCCCTCTTTCGTCTCAATCTCTTAATCGTATCCATAAGAACGGGAAAACCTCAAGGAAACAAAGAAACCCTTAGCTTCAAGCTTCTTCTCTAACGAAATCGAAATCTCCCTTAGGTAATGAATCTCTTCTGCTTCTTGGATTTCGTTCTCCGTCTTCCTTCTCGAATGATCTTTCTTTATTTTTTTTTCTTTCTGTTCGACTGTTTCTGGAAATGAAAGGAGTTGAGGTTTTCTGTTCTTTACTTTCAGTTGGGTTCTCCTGAAATTCACCTTCCCTCCCCTAAATGCCCATTTTATTCATTTATTGCTGAGGCTTAAGCACTTTGATTCCGAGCATAAGAATCTTGTCTGCTTCCAGAGTCATGAGAAGGTTTTAAGTGTATCGTTTAGTCTCTCAAAGAAGTTATATTATGAATTTTTCTATCATTTAGATGGGCAGGCCTTACGAGACTTTGATGTTCTGTCTGAAAGCTGGTTCCTTTTCACATGGGTGTGTCTGGAATCGCAGCGATAGATCATAATAACGCATGGGCTGTGAATTCTTGACCGAGGCGTTATCTGTTCTTCTGGGTGAAAATTAGTCATGAAATTGACCCTTTTCCAAGGGTGCTGTTTTCTTTCAAACCCTACTTTCTTTCTGGTTTTTATTTCTTGATCTGTTGTTCAATGGATGAAAGGATTTGAGAAACTGATAGACCCGTTGGCTTGTTTATGCTTCTCGCCAAGTTTGCACAATATGATTCGGATGCCATTTTAGATTCAAACAGAGTTGGCTGACTGATTTGGAGGGTTTGGATAATACTTTGGACCAAATTGTCACAAACTTGAAGGTTCCATCTTTTGCATGTTCATCTGATCTAAATTTTTTTAGACACTTGCTTAGTGATTTTCTTAACGTCAAGTGAGAAATATTTTAGCGTTGCGTGTTTCTTGTTTCGCTTGTTCTGTGAAACATTACCATGAGATAAACTGAGACAAACCTTTTTCTCGTAGTCATTGTGCCCTATAATTGCTCTCGATCTTCATTTAAAATGATTTTGCAGGTGCTTTTGTTTGCCGTTTTCCAGAACCGGCCATTGATATGGCGCACGTGCTTTCTGCTTCGTGCCCTTCAAATGTTTCGCTTACAAGCAGGACGTCTGCTCAGTCATTCACTTTAGGGCAAACCCTTTGTCCTACCTTCTTCACTCCCCAAACCTCGACATCTCCTTTCAGAGGACTGGTTTTACAAATGAAGAAACTGAGAAGAAGTTGCACTGTCCAAGCAACTGCCTCACCTGTAAGTCAACAAGCACCACCTCAAGCATCGACCAATGGATCATCATCGAAGCCAAAACGGGTTATGGTCATTGGAGGAGATGGTTATTGTGGCTGGGCCACCGCTCTCCACTTGTCCAACAAGAATTACGAAGTTGCTATTGTTGACAGCCTCGTAAGGCGTCTTTTCGACCACCAACTTGGTCTGGATTCTTTGACACCTATAGCTTCCATCCACAACAGAATCCGCCGCTGGAAATCTTTGACAGGAAAATCTATCGAGCTATACATCGGGGACATTTGTGATTTTGAATTCTTATCTGAGGCTTTCAAGGCTTTTGAGCCCGATGCTGTTGTCCACTTTGGGGAACAGCGATCAGCCCCTTATTCAATGATAGACCGTTCCAGGGCGATTTTTACTCAGCACAACAACGTAATTGGGACTCTTAATGTCCTTTTTGCTATTAAGGAGTACCACGAAGAGTGTCATCTGGTAAAACTCGGGACAATGGGCGAGTATGGAACTCCAAATATCGACATTGAAGAGGGTTATATAACAATAACCCACAATGGGAGAACCGATACCTTACCATATCCCAAGCAAGCGAGCTCCTTTTATCATCTAAGCAAGGTTCATGACTCTCACAACATAGCTTTCACTTGCAAGGCATGGGGCATCAGGGCCACGGACCTCAACCAGGGTGTTGTCTATGGAGTGAAAACCGATGAGACAGAGATGCATGAGGAGCTACTTAACCGGTTTGACTATGACGGTGTGTTTGGGACAGCGCTAAACCGGTTCTGTGTTCAGGCCGCTGTGGGTCACCCACTCACAGTATATGGCAAAGGTGGTCAGGTGAGACTTCGCTTAGCAAAACGATTGTATTCCCTTTGGTTGGATGATACCTTGTGAAACAGTCTTTCATTTGCTTCGGCTTTTGTTATCTTTTCTTTTTTCTGTGTTGCAGACAAGGGGCTACCTAGACATAAGAGACACGGTTCAATGTGTGGAGCTTGCCATCGCTAATCCGGCAAAACTTGGTGAATTCAGGGTGTTCAACCAATTCACTGAGCAATTTTCGGTCAATGAACTGGCTTCCCTCGTCACAAAGGCAGGCTCGAAACTTGGGCTTGATGTGAAAACAATAACAGTGCCAAACCCTAGAGTAGAGGCCGAAGAACATTACTACAACGCGAAGCACACAAAGCTCATGGAGTTGGGACTCCAGCCTCACTATCTCTCGGATTCCCTCTTAGATTCATTGCTCAATTTTGCTGTTGAGTACAAGGATCGGGTTGACGAAAAGCAGATCATGCCTAGTGTCTCCTGGAAGAAAATCGGCGCCAAGCCAAAGACCGTTACCGTCTAAGTATAGATACTGAGAGTTGTTCAAAAGTCATGTTATATGTATGCCATGTACCTTAAAGAGTGAAGAGGCTTTATGTAGTTTGAGGATTGATGTAGAGATGTTCATGTGTATGTGAACTTCAAAAATATGAGATTGCAATTAGTTCCTCTTATGTTGGATTGGATGATGTCCTAAACTCAAACCCCCAAAAGTAGGGTTGGGCATTTAAACCCGTTGGTAAGCGGGTACCCGATCTCGTGGGTGCCCGAAAAACGGGTACTCGACACCTAACGAAAACGAAAACGAGTATTAAAAACTAGAATATCTGTCATACGGGTTCGGGTTCGTGTTTTACATATTGAAATAATGGGTATCCATGGGTACCCGCATATATATTAAAATTACAAAATTAACCTTATGTTTTTAATATAATTTAAAAAATACTTAGGTTATTTTACTTACCTTTAGGATTATATATTGGATTTTCAAGTTAGGATTCTATGCATATTATTATATTTTAACAATTTTCAAACTTAAAAATGTATTTTTGGAATAAAATATGTATAGTTTTATTGATTATTTGATTTAATTTTATATTGTTTAATATTTTATATACGGATACGGGTATCTACGGGTATCCGTCTTTTAGTTATGGGTACCCGTTGAACGGATAGCGGATGTTGTGAGATAGAGACAGAGATAACATTTCTCTACAACCCGCGAAGACGAAAACGAAGACGAGTATTTCAAAAAATGGGTACCCGACCCGTGCCCAGCCCTACCCACAAGGGCTCACAAGGGCTCACATGATGAAACAAGTGAAAAAGCCTCCAAAGGTATTTTTATTCTTGTACAAAAATCGAAAGGGCTACTAGTTAAAAAAGGCTAAAGAAAAGCCAACAAGACCACCACGTCTCCAATGGAGTTGCAAATGTTTCAAGACAGAAAACGAGAGAGACCTCATGCCCTCTCATCATCATCCTACAGTAGTAGTCACTAGTCTCTTTCACCAGCCTGTTGGTGCTATGATTCTAAGGTCCCAAATAAATTATCCATATACACATCCAAATACAATAACAAAGCATCATCTACCAAAGGTATTTTGTTCTCAAGACCCAACGGGAGCAATGTCTTTGGCTTTGGCTGCAGTGGTTGCAGCGGGCGG